GCCCGATGCATGCTTATTCGCGGATCTTTGTTAATTAAAATCTCAGTAACTATTGCGAATCTAGCAAAATGATATAGGACTTTTCACCTCAGTTTTATTCCTTCTATCTGCCTACGAGAGATGTTAAACCAATTCTGGGACACCCTGTATATATAACTTATATTTATCGTTTAGTACGTTGAAATTTTGTTGTGTACGATCACACAACTTACTACAGTTAGTTCATACATTCTCCATACATTGCTCTAGTCAACATAAATTAATAATATATATATGTATATTATGTGTAAAATGAGGTAACATAAATAATGTGATAACGGTATTTGTATAAATGTGATGTGAAACTTTAAGTTTTTCCTATCTCATAATATATATCTTTGATATATTAATATATATCTTCGTTTATGCTCAAAAACTAAGATATTTCTTTCGAATCTATTAATATCAGGAAAAAGATCTAATTAGCTTTAAAAAGTTACATCAACCAAAGCTTCATTTCAACTAAACATTTTCCTGCGCTATTTTATCATTTTGTACAATAATCTATATATAATATATAATTACAAGTGGTATAATAAAAACATTATTTATCGAATATTTTTATCTTATAAGATAGAATTATAACCGGTAATGTCACACTGATTTCATTATTGACGCCATTTTCACAGGAGCCTCTTCACTCCCGCAGAAAAGGCGGAGCTTTTACACGTTTGCAGCTTGGCGACACGTTTGAAGTTAGCTACTAGCAGTCCATATACTTATATAGTCAAAAGATAAAAGGATAACAGTTTGAATCTTTGCTATTTAACAAAAACGCAAACCACAAAATTTATAACTTAAAATTTAAGCAAATTACTTAAACATTTTACAATTTAAGCTTTTTTTCTCTCTCTATAGTCCTGTATGTAGTGAACTGTCTGCTTGATAGATGTAACTTTTAAGTCAGTAGTAAGTAAGTTTTAAGTAAGTATTTTTGCATTTTTTTATTTGTGCTTCTAATTTGGAGATATGTGACAATAAAGTTTAGAAGTGAGAAATTCACGTTTAAGAAACATTATTATTATTCCAATAAGAAGAAAGGTAGAAGCAATGACGAGCTGTATATCTGATGTTCGAGTAAAATTCTTTATTCAGAGAGAGAGAGATTTGACGTTTCGATCCACTATGGGATCTTCAGTGTCTATGCACATTATTACAAAGGTCTTATTCCAAAAGAATTGACTAAAGTCACGTGACTTTAGTCACGTGTTGTTTTTCCACTCCTCCCTCTCACTAGTTTTTGATTTTCATGTGTTATTTCTGACATCTCTCTAATGTATATTATATGGTTTGTAAAACGTATATACTAGCTTTCATCGCGGTGACAGGTTGTATTCATTGACACAACACGGTAAAATAAAAACAATAATAAGGCATGTACGTAGCGCGCGCCTGTGTTGTGCTAGTATTTTTAAAAACAGCAATTTTTATATACAAACAGTAAATAAATGGAATATTTTTAACAGGGTGATTCCGGTGGTCCACTTGTTGACAATAATACTCATACCTTGATTGGTCTCGTATCCATTGGTATTCCGTGTGCTCTAAACTATCCAGATGTTTTCACAAGAGTATTCCATTATAAAGAGTGGATTGCCAAAACAATGGAGAAAAATAATGCGAGCAGCATCGGCCAGTTGAGTATCATTCTTTATTGTTTGATGTATCTGTGCACTCACTTGTACAAAATAGTACATTAATTTATTTTTATATTGTATCAACTATATATAACATCAATGTTAGGTTAACTACATATTTTAATAAATAAAGTACACCAGTTGTAAACAAATAAAATTACATTTATTGTAAAATAATACTTTTTTTTACATAATTTCACTTTTATCCGCAAATTTGTATTTTTTCAATTTCAAACTGATTTTAGCGAAAAAGAACATCAAAAACTCGTTATCACGTTACTAAAATGTTTTAATATATAATGTAAGTCTGTTATGTATGTACACAGCGCGCGCGTCAGGAATTCGAAGAGTAGGCGCGGGGATCGGAGGAGGCCGTACGATTCGTACGGCGCTTGTTGGCGAGCAACCGCCCCGCTTGCCCTCCGATCCCGCGCCTACTCTTCGAATTCCTGACGCGCTGTGTACATATGCATTATTAACAACACACGTTGTGATGCATATTACACGTTGCGTTAATCGTTCAATTACTACGGCGATATTGACGGGATGTAATTTCCGCATGTTGGGAAACCTTGTGGGACAGGCGGAAGATCATGCGGTTCTCCAACGTGGAACACATTAGCCATGCCTAGTACCAGATGGAAGATAAAGTGACAATGAAAAATCCAGTAACCTGCGAGCAAAAATCGTTCGATTGAAATTTCGCTGGTCAATTAACGTCGACTTCATAGTTCGGTTTTTTTCTACAGTGTTGAAAACTAGTAACAAAGTCTATTACTCACCGGGATTGTTTGCACGGAAACGTACAATTGCGTATCCCTTACTCGGTACAGAAATAGTATCCTTAAACGGCGGTACGGAGATTCTTCTTGGCAGAAGACCCTCCTCATCCATTTTCTTTATTTCGTCTACAGTAGCTCCAGTTCCGTTGTTCGGAACGCCCATGGATATTATATTAAAAGCGTAGCCGTGCAGATGGAACGGATGATACAAGTTGGGAGTTTCGGCTAAAACAAAGAGAGAATGTACAATAGTTTAAAAATTAATTGAAAAGAGAGAAAAATTTTTTTCCATAGAAAACAGAACAAGACGGGAAAGAGCGGATATGTACCATAAGAAGACATACGTGCTTACTTGCGTCAATTAAGACGAGTTCGACAATGCCATTGAATGGTAGTTCTATGACGTGCGTGCAACCGCACAATTTCCCATCTACGCAGTAGTCCGGTTTGTGCGTGCTATTACAGATCATATCAGACGGAATATCGTTTGCTTGAGAAAGTAACGGTGACGGTGGTAAACGGAACGAAATATCACTGAGAGTAGCGGCCGAATGAGTGGAACGAGGCGCAACTGTTAATCGCACACACAAAAGTGCAACATTAGAAGAAACAGAATTATCCTCGCATGAGCCGTTACTTTGTTTCGTGATCTTTCGACGGATCTTTCGATTTTTTGTTTCTCACCTACAAATAGTTCGAAATTGTTGGGCGCGAAGAGTTCTTCGATATTATATTGATAGAATTTGAACGGTAGGTAAAACTTGGCGTCTGGCGTTTCTTTAGCAATGTCTCTGTCGACCTCAACCGCGCTCTTCAAATTGCCAACGCAAATCGCGTTTGGCCTCGCACGATCGCACTGACCATCAAGTGGGTTCAATACCTTTTATACACAAACAACGGAATTATTTTATTTTCCGATATACTGACGTAACACACAAGTAGAACATATGCGCGAACAACTTACAATCCCTTCGGGAAGCGGATCGTTTAAAGTGGGCGCAGGTGTTGACGGTGTATTCGATGCAGCACCTTCGTACTGTAACACAGCTAACTGTTGAATAGCCTTGGTTTTGCAGGATGCGATTCCACGAAGTTGAATCCAGTAAGAATTGACTTTATTATTTGCATTCACAACAAAGTCATAGCGTTCCCCTAAAACAATTATTCGAAAATTCAATAAATATTCCTTCCTTAGTCCTCAAATATTATAATTTACTTTTATGTTTCTGTGTAAAAACAACAAACAAACAAAATACCTGCAACGCTAATTATAGAAGTCACTATGGTGGGTTCGACCAAGACACCGTCCATTGCTATGATAGTGAGATTATGACCCTCAACGGTTAAAATTGAAGAACAAGTCGTGCAGAACGCATTTATCATACGGAATCGATAGCGAGAGTTACGTTCGACGCGAAAAATCTCGCGGTTGATTATATTACCAGTTTCCGGATCCTGCGATCACGTTTACAATAAGTCTTTGCAGTGTAACATTATTCTTATAGCGTTATTTTTTTATTGTTTCTTATTTAAAAAAAAAAAAAAAAAAAAAAAAAAAAAAAAAAAATTATCTGATTCCGTGCACGCGTATAAAAGATTAAAGGAAATTAAATTTTACTTGATATTGTCCCCTGCCGTTGATCAGAAAAGTATTCGGGTCTTGGAACTGCGTATTTCTGAGACCACCGGGTATTCGCTCCGAAGCTAATTCGTGCATCCAATCGTTGATTACAACTGTGTGACGCGACAAATCATAATCGTACGAGTTACTGTTAACATCGCGTTTCTGCGACTGACGTACAATAAGGCTCCCAAAGACTCCATCCATTTTTTGTAATCCAGAATGAGAATGCCAGAAGTGAGTGCCGGCGTTGTCCGCGTTAAACTGATATCTGAAAGAGAAATATTTAGTAAAATACAAAATTGTAAAAAACTTTGATAATATTCTTGTGTTTCAAAATTTAACTCGACATATATATAAATTGATTAGTACACACATAGAATTCCGTTTTGAAACCGGAATGTGCATTACCTAAATGTACTTAGCGCGGAAATGGGACACTGAGTTACGAGGTCCGGACCGTCGTAATATTGAGTGTCGCGTTGAAACAATCCGTGCCAGTGAATTGTTAGTTCCTCGCTCTCCAAATTATTTACGACGTCAACCACGACTTTGTCGCCCTCGCAAACATCGATAGAAGGCCCGGGCAGCATACGATTTACCGTTATAATGGCCCGTTCCACTCCATCAGCGGACACACATTGACAATTGTTGCAGAAGGTGTTGGTTTTGTTCACTTTACACAGATCGCAAGCCCTGAAACAAACAACGAATATCTTACACGGTCAATGATAGTGTTAGTATTAACAAATACATTTATATAGATTCGATAAAAGAAGATAAAGTCAGATAATATTCATAATTAAAATTATAAAACTGTATCTCATGCTGAAATACTTGCACTCTGTAAATTAATGTCTGCAATCTTATGATGATATAGCGTCTTATATTATATTATATTATATTTTTCGATTGGGCTTTGAATCAGCGATTAGTGCTGCTCTGCCTCGCCTTTTGAATTACAGTTGTTGAATCAAAAATGTGAATTCTATTAGTTGCTTTTAATTTGTACACATTGTATTCAATAAAGTTATTATTATTATTATTATTATCATCTGACATATTGCATGCGCGATTAATTAAATTCTAATTACTCGGAAAAGAACTGCGAGGAACACGATCACACAGATGCAAAGCATAAATATCGAGTTTCTGAAAAAAATGTCTGAGACACAAAAGAAGAATTTGGAAAGTTACGTCATCTGACTAATAAAAAAAACCGAAATACTGCGTAGAATTATATAGAAAACATTTGAGAAGAAGACACAATGACATTTCAAACAACCGACCTCTTAAACGACGACTACTTAGACGATTTCCAGATCTTCGAGATTTTCGTTTCCACAAAATTGCATTCTTGTAAAGATCTCGGCTGATGTCCAATATAATATTTTGAAGCTATCGAATAACGTCCGGCTTATTCGTCGAATAATGTTAGACACGCACGCGATTATAAATTACAACAATAACAAGTGATGTCAAATATATTAGTGAAGAAAAATATTTATCAACTACCTGGTAAGTGTATAATACATGTTCACAGTAAAACGGTAATAACAAGTTTTGGGTTTTTCGTCGTCATTGCAAGTGCGCGCACACTCGAGAGGACTCGATAAGTTTGGCACGTCATCGGGCGGATCTACTTCCCAGCAATATAATTCGACTTCCGGTCTTTGATCGTCAACTCCTCCGACTATGACGGGCCGTAGACGTTCTACCGAGGATTCGGCATTGTCGATGTCTTCGATCGGAACTTCGATCGACGCGGGGTCTCTTATCCGCTTCTCGTCGTCTGCGATCTGCGATCTGACTCCTGCAACTAGTGCGATTTCTTTTTCATACTCAAATTAACTAATTATATTTTATGTAAAACATTATTTCGAATTAGTTATATATACATGTTAATAAATATAGTGTACCTACCACAATAAATTAATGTCGCGCAGAAGATCAACCGATAGATCGTACACATTATTGCAAAGTGACTGACTCTCGACGAGACTCGTTACATCAAGATCCGCTTTTATATACCTTTAACGCTCTATATTTGGCTTATAAAAATATAAATCTTAGGCTTAAATATATCCTGCTGTTTTGTAGATGCACGGTTTTATCAGTTTCTTTACAATTCAATATCTCGTTTCGACAAAATGTTTATCAAAAGATTACTTAGAAATTCGTAAAGAAAAAAATCATAATCTATACCTCGTAATATATACGGTATAGTGACGTCAAAGATTTTTACCGATTTTAACGTGTCTACGCGTGAGACGCAAAACTATTTACTGACAGCGCGTCAATAAATAGCATTATAAGTCCATAAATGTCTATGCGAATTTATGATAAGAGAATCTAGGACAATATGTTTCCTGGTAGCAACGAGTAAATTTGATTTAGTACGTTTCTTATCATTAATTATTCGCTCTATAGAACGTTGCCTTATATATTATCTCACATGTTGATCTTAACAGATTTCAGTCTGTTGGCAATATATATTATTATAATGAAAAAAATAATTTATCGCAAAAATCTTTACGCGATATACGCAAAATTGATAAAAGTTTCAAACTTTATCGCATCTAAGACGTCAAGCTTGTGCAAAAACAGAATTTACTATCCGATGACGTAACGTGATTGACAACAATAAATTAATTTGACACGTAAATGAGAACGCAATCGGTATACATGTGTATCATACGAGTCTCATTTAAACTTCAATTTGTACATACATGTTTACGTACATACTAGTGTACGCAACATAATACTAATTTTACGTATCTATATCTTTTATGACTTACCCACATATTAACAAATGTACGTAATACTAGCTTCAGATTCGAATAGTTAAGTAGTCACATGTGTGCCTTCAACTTTTTAAATCCACCTTAATGTTTTAGCGTTTTTTGGCACTTTAGACGTTAAAAAACTAATACCGATGTCGAATCTGTAACCAAATTTTCTGAAAACTGGTTTAGAAAATGCTTCGCAGTATTTTCAAGAAGAAGAAACGTAGTTGCGATACAAATAGTACATCATGACGTATTAACACCGAATAACACGCAATAAAATTAAGTGTACCAAAAAATAAAACACTCAGTGATAATGAACTCTCATTTAAGAGCTTAATTAGATAGATTTTAAGTGGTTTAATCAAAAAATTATGTTGTCGACTGAAGACCGAGAAACGATACTTCAGTGACGACGGTTACGTTGGAACTCCGATCGTGTATCTATAGATAGATTTTACACGTTACTGGTGCCCTTATGGCTCAGTGGACCCTTACAGCTAGTCCGATTTTACACGTTATCCCCATAGACGTAGAATATATAGACTGCGCGTTCCCTATCCTTGCCATGTTAAAAAAATGTCTTCAACGTTGAGAGAGACAGCTGGTGTTGAACAGTAGCCTCATCTTTGTCTAGCAAAGTAGTGGGGAAAAAAGAAGTCTTCGCTGATTGATAGAATAGTAGTGGAAAAGTGGGGATAGAAAAATAGTGGGGCTGAAGAGGAATGAAAGAGATTAAGGGGTGATGGCAGGTTATATATATATAGGCGGTATGAAACAGTAGGCCCTGATCCCACCACAGACATTGATAGACAGAGAGAGAGTTACTGTTCAAAGTATGTTGTCTTTGTCAACCATGAAGACATCTTTTCAGCCAAAACGCGCAGTCTATATATTCTACGTCTATAGTTTCTCCCTAACATAGACTGTTTACAATTTACATAGATTTCATGTTACTCCGAATATAAAACTGTTTACGATATAACACATTTGGGATAAGATTCTACAATGCAGAAGATGTTTTGATTTAGAACAGATCTGTGGATTCTTAAAGATTGGTCTTTTAGATACAAGATTATTGCAATAACTCACTTTATTCTCAAAATTGTATAACAGCTACAAACTTTGAACGTTTTTAATCATTTTTAAGTTTAGCTTATATATAAATGTCCCTACTACTGTGCCAGCAACTTCATATACGCGCTAAACACTTACATTGTGATATATGGTATTACAAAAATTATAAATTAAAAGATTATAAAAATATATTTTTAAATATGAATAAAAAAAACTTAATGACACACATTTACTCACAGTCACTCCGGAACCGACTCTAAGGAAGTACATGAAAATTTGAAATATACGCACATTAAATATCGGAGATAGCTAGGAAGGAAACTTCGATCTTAGAACTAACGCTAGCTTTATGCGTGTAAAGTCAATAAATGTATAAAACTTAAAAATTAATAAAAAACCAAACATTGCGCAAATTGAGTCATTAAGTATAAAAACTTTTGACATATATGTGTCTAAAATATATAAATATATAAATATATACATATACATATATGTATATATATATATAAGTTTCATACACTTATTAATCCAATATAATAAACATACATTATAAGTCTTCTTTCAAACTTTTGAAAAAAAAATATCTATATTCTTTTTTCTAATAGAATAAATAAAAAGAAATCTACACAAAAGCAAAAATAGTTAATAAAAACAACTCGTTTTTGGTCCGTTATTGTTTTAATATTGTCAAAAAATATAAGAAAGTAAACTAAAACCGTAAAAGAAAAAGAAACAAAAATCACTTGCTACAAATTTATACAAAAAATAGAATAAAAAATATAAAAGTTGAAAATATTGTCGCGTCATTTTACATTTACGCCAGATCAAAATGTAAAACTTATAATTAAAATCGTAACTCTCAACCACTCAGGTTTTGCAGTCGTAATAACTCCACTATTAATAAATAAATGAATAAATTATTGCCACTATGTATATCATTGCAAACTTGTTGTTGTTTTGTTTTATAATAAAGCCTGGTTTACACTGATCGTTTAAAATAAGTATATTAAATACTGTATTCATATTATCAGATTAAATTGGCTTGGTCTCAATAATGTCATATTACGATACGCCTTCTTCACGCGTATCGTAATATCAAAATGGTATTTGTATCAAGCATATTTATAAATTACATTCTAAGATGTTTTTTGAGTTTGAACCGCGTGTCATTTTTATATATTCATATTGGTATAAAAATGACACTAACGCGGTTTAAACGTCTTGGAATGTTAATACAACACACCGCGAAAGCATCAAATATTACATTTATAATGATGTAAACTCCAGCGAATTATACATTGAGAAACAAATTTTATTTAATTCGCGTATTAAAAAGATATACGGTGTAAACTAGGCCTATATCAGTCTATTAATAACACGTACACAATTACGTAATTTATTTTGTCAATTATCTGCAATTGCTAATAAAAAAAATCTCTACATTAGAGCCCAGTGCGATTCTTTTTTAATTACCCCGGGTAATTGAGAGTTAAATTAATTATAAATAAATACATGTGCCAAAGAAACAGTTAATGTAACATTTCCGTTTGACTTGTGTGATGTCAAAATAATTTTCGACCGCTTACCACTTATTATATCTTCTATATCTATTATATCTCTAAACACATTTGGAACAACTACTTGCTAGTAAGAACTTCACCACTTATCGTGTGTGCTTGCAGACTCTTACAGACTCTCGTGAAGAAGACCATGTCTTTGAAAAGCGCGAAATCTAACATACGATTTAGAACATTTAGTACAAACGTAGCATTTTTCGTTATTGTTGTATAATATGTTGTGCACTATCTTCAGATGTTGAGCCAATGACGATTTATGTCTGTAAATCGTGTATATTAGTGTATAACAAATAATTTCTATCAAAAGAGCAAATCAGAATTTATTGCTTATCCGCATTCTTACTTATATCTTTTTTGGCAGACGGTACAATCGTAACTCTCTTCGGTAAGAAAGGTGCAACGAGTAAAATGTTTTCTAAACTGATTTTTTCCATTAAACAATCTTCTACAGTCAGTGCATTGGATAAGAAACAATTAGTGTATTGGATAAGACACAGATCTGAAAGACAAAACAATATATAAAATATACGTATGTCATATCTTTATCAAAGTATTTAAGAAAGGTTTATCTATGTATGTAAATAAATTATTATTATTATAAATTAATAATAACACAAGAAGAAGATTCTTCGGGCTCAGGAGTCTTTAGACTAATGAGTGAAAATAAATTGGGTTGTAAGAACCGTTTTGTTAATTATATATATATATATGTATGTATAGGAATTATATATGTGTATACATATATATATAATTAATTTTTTTCAAAAATTATTTCGAATTATATATGTGTATACATATATATATATATATAATTAAGCACATTCTCTGCATAACATCTTGCAAAACGGCTCTTACAACCCAATTTATTTTCATTTATTATTATTATACTTTTGGGAGTTTTCTACTATTATATACGTGTAAAACGTGAAATTACTTTATGATAATTGCGAGATCATCTTCCACTTACCTTCTTTGTTTTCCTGTGGCTCACATGTATCATTAGAAACAGATGTATCAATCAAGACATCGGTTTGAGTAAGCGTTTTGTCTTGCGAAATTGATTTTTCCTCATCGAAAACATTCATATCTTCTGTAAATTTTAAACAATTTGTTAAATCATTATCGTACGAAACAACTGTAGAATAGAATACGGATGTAAGTTACTTTGCTCTATGACCAGCATGTTCGCATTGTTTTCAATTGTGTTTGTTAAATTGTTGCCATGATTTTCCTTTGCAATGTTTATCTCTTCGAAGTTCTCGCAGAAGAAACTCTTCTTGAAGGATTCCCGGAGCCAAGTTTCGCCAAGTATGTAATCATAGTCGTCCATTATAAAATCGGAACATACGTAAGGCGTTAAATATTCCATTTTATCGTCGATTGTTGAAAGTGAATCATTGAAGATGATGTTGTCTTCGTTGCAAGAAGTGCAGTTGGCGTAAGTGCAGGGATGTAACAGTTCCGGATCGAATAAGATATTTACTCCGTTGTTGTTATTCATCGATTCGATCAAGGTGCAATTTATAAAATCTTTTTCGAACATTTGCTCCATTGCATCAGACTCGATTGACTTTTCAGAAATAACAGGATTGCTGTTTACGTCGTAGCATTTTTGTGAACTGTTTGTCTCGTTGTTGATAGAAAAACTATTGGAATCGTTGAACGTCGTTCCGATTTTGCTGAAATCGTTCTCGCAATTCGAAGTATTCGATTCGTGGCTGGACTGAACAGGTGCGTTTGTGTCGAAGACAATATTAGCGAATACATTTGGAGAAATATTCATTGCAGTGTCAGAGCTTGAAGTTTTAGTATTCGAGTTTGAAGATGCTGTCTTTCTTGTTTTGTAAGTCGTCGCTTTTTTCGACTTCTTGAACGAATGCTTTTTAGATTTATTGGATTTCGATTTCTTCCTTGACGAATTTTCCTCGCAATTCGTCGAATCGTTCGTTTGATCGACTCTTGCCTTTTTGTTTCTGTTATTATTCGAATCGTACGTGTCGCATTGTTTATCCAGCGGATTGTGCAGTTGTTTCCTCTGATGATGTAATATCTTGTTGGTTTCCTTCTCGAAGTTGGTGTTGGATACAGTATTCAGTGCGGAATGGAAATTTATACTTTTCGCATTGAACGCGAAGAAGGTTTGAATTTTACTTGTACTGAAATTGTCATTTCTGTCGTTTTTCTTCGTTCTCAGTATAATGGGAATGTTTTTTGTGTGCATTTTTTTCAGATTTTACAGCGACCGGAGTTCTCTGTTACTTCTTGGCTAGGGATGTCTGCGTGTTTTTTTCGGCTAATAAAAAAGAACGTCTATTTTTACCTGTCGTTAAAATTACGTTTACAAATTGTTTTTAAATTACGCATCATATACTTTTCGACAATTTTATATGTTAAATATATTGTTTTTTTAAACAAACTATTTTTTATTTATTTCTTTTCATTTATTTTATTTTTTATATATATTTAACTTAAAAAAATTTTTTTAATATTTTTTATTTATAAATTTATTTGCACTCTTCAACCGATTTTTTATTTATAATTATACTCTTAATTATAATTCAGTTAAACACATGTAATTTTAGTATACAATTAAAATATCGCGATTACATTGAAAATTATGAGGTTAATTGATAAGAATAAGTTAGCGGTTAATGTGGTTTTTGTTAAGTTAAGATAACGGTTATAATTTAGCATGTAAATTAGTAAGAGGTATTTGTAAGAGATATTTGTAAAAAAATTAAGTGAAATTCTTAGGAAAGTCAATAAATGTATTGTTATCTATTAATTTATATAGTAAACAAATTATACGTATGTATTGTATTCCAATGTATAAGTATGAGTCACTCTTCACCGAATGTGCAACGAGTACGTAGTATTCGCGGAATCGAAATTAGTAGAAAGCTCATTATGTGTGTGCGCGTGTGTACGTGTAAGTTTTACGTTAACGGAGATTGTTATAAAATGCGCATGCGAAGTGCGTCAAGTGAGTCATCGGCAATTGTTACAATTGTTAAAACACAGATCAAAACTATACTCACACAGTACGTAGCAGCCCGGAGAAAAACTGCGCAGCGAACATCAACAAAATGACATATCACGTAACAAACAAATGTCGCTGCGATCAAAGCTGGTTTGTCCTCACTTTGTCCTTGCTTGCACCTTGTTTATTTTATCACTTGAGAGATGTTCACACTCGAAGCATTTTGACGATTTTTCAAAAGAAAACGTGAACTGTGTCGAAAGCCAAGGGGTCGCGAAGAACTTCCGTATCTTTTCGCCGTCAACGACCACCGGCGACTGGGCCCGGACAGGAACGAACATTCGTGGTGCCAAAGCGCTTCACAACGCCAGTCCTAGTGAAATACAAGCCGGTCTTTCTCTCCTTGAGAGAACGATAATAAAAAAAATGATAATCTTACGGGGCGCTCGAAACCGTAAACAACGTGACGTAATCCCCGGCGTGAGGGATAACGTCTCTCTTTGCCCGAACTATTCCTTCAGGCTTGGTCGGTGTCGAGAAGCGCGATTTATCGCATCCTTTTGCGCATACCGCGTTTCTTGTATAAACAACACGGAAAATATTTTTTTATGACTACAGACCCTCCGAGGTTTGTACACAGAAGGTTCTCAGATTCTTTGGCCAGTATTCACAGTCGGATCTTAATTTTTAAGATCCGTCATTAAGTTTATGTTGAAATGGACCTGTAGCCAATGAGACAACCTGTACGGTGTCTTAAGACGAACTTAAGATGATCTCGAATACAAGATCAGATTACGCGTTCTCAGTCATATTTTACGAAATATCCTCGCAATTAGAGATGTTTGCGTCAGTTTTCTTCAATTCATCGCAGACGAATGCGAGCGAATTGAGTGTAATGTGTGTGTGTGTGAGAGTTTCCTATATAATATAATTTTACAGTTTATATGTATGAAATATATATACGCGAGCGAAAGAATTTTTATCTAACTTACCTGTTTGTCTGAGACAAAGGTAGAGTCATTCATGTGACTCTACATGAGAGTCACTGTATTCTGCGAATAACCATAAAACTAGATAACAGATTTATAACCTTTCTTAAGTTACAATAACCTTTGCGAGCGGAGAGAAAAGATTTGATTTAAATTGCAGTACACTTATTGTTGAAGGAAGTAATTGAATTTTATCATTGATTACAACAGATGAACATTCGAGAATCATAGGTAGACTTTCTATACCGATAGAGACGCACAGTGGTAATTTTTAGTAACTGTTTGGTATTGTTTAAAAGAAAATTTACGTATTTTACTTTTTTTTTAAATAAAGTGTGAATTGTGTTTATTTTTCTGCATCAAGAACAGATCTCTTTTATACGATTAAAATATGATGTGGAAAAGTGAACATATTAAGCACAGAGATATGTAACATGTGGTAATAAAATATTTTTATTAAAATGAATAGAGTATTCGGTATATATAGCAATTCCAAAAACAATACTGTTTTACAAATTGTAAATGTAACTTGTTATGTGTCACAATAAACATGTGAAATAAATAAAAATGTATTTACTTGTTAACATGATGATGAACTTTACACATGTTCACTTGTATTAATCTTGCAATTATTCGATACAGGTAAACAATCACCAATCATTACTGTCGCTAACATCGTCGTTTCCATTCTTCAAACTGGAGAACAAGACATCCCTGACCTTCGGTCGTGGGTCCTCCTTGATTTTTGTTGGTATTGCCTCCACTTGTCCCAGCATCCATTCCAGTTCTGCGAAACGAAAAAATAAATTGCCTAAAGTAAACACTGTTTTTTGATTTGTCTCTTCTGTAATATTCCAGTCTTAAAATACACATATCACCTGCTTCGGTCAATTTCATTCCACGGAGTTCAAGCGGCCCGACAAATTGTTTCTCCATATTTCCATTGTGATAAATTAATATCGTGGGGAGTTTGCTGTCTGGCCAGTTGGCTATACAAGTGGTAGAGATGCTCTTCAAGAACTTTGTTGTGGGAAATTTTCTTGCCAAACTGGCAAGATGCTGATTAACTAAAGTACACAGTGGAATTCTGAAAACACGTTCAATTAATACTTCGATCAATGTTTTTGTGTTAAAAATTAAAAGTTGCATCGTAAAGTTGCGTACCCAGATTTATACAGATGCAAGATAACCCAGACGTCTTCCCCGGCGTTATTTACTTCTTGAATGTAATCCTCCGCCGTTATCTCACGCACTTCTCCATACTTGGACTTGCTTGCTAACTCCTTCATTTCTGCTATCCTTTTCCGTCTGTACTCCTCGAGAACTCGTTCGTCCTCTTCGTCCTCCAGTTCATCTAGCTCGTCCAAGGTCTTCTCTTCTAAATTGTTGGCAACTGTACAAGAAGACAAACAAATGTCAACAAACTTGCAAGCAACGTACGACCGACAAGAGTAAGAAACATAAATTACCACGTCCTGTTTTCTCATCTATAGTGTTCTCCAAGAGATTCACTATCTGATCTTCGGTAACTTCCTGTTCCTTCTGCTTTTCGGGTATAATACCCCTCTTTCTGAGAATGTCATTCCACTCGGTATCTTCATTTGGATCTTGCTACAAGTTTAAGATAAACTTGGAATCACTTGTCAATAAATCAGCATAAAATAGAAAAAACGACAAAATTGTTTCAATCTGTGTTATAAAACGATAAGACAAAACATTTTTCCGCCCACAGTCTCGTTACCAAATAAGGAGTCACGCGTGACTACTCTTCTTAACCTCTTTTTGACGTGGCAGGATATTCTTACAAAGTTTACTCACCATTTTGGAAAACTGTTGTTAAATATTTCTCTTCCACCGATTCGTTCTCAATTGATTTTATAGTCTGTATTTTTCAAATACATGAAATTTCTCCGATTACGTGTGTAAACGTTAAAAATTATTGCAACATGGGAGAAAACCCAACAGCTGATCTGTCTGACTGGTTTCCTACCACAATGAAACGTTACGTGTGCAATGTGTCACTGATGCAGTCACGTGTACACACATGTATACGCGAATAAAAACGTGAAATATTGAAATACTCAATTCAGTTTTAGGATCTTTTGATTTCTTCAGGTCGATTAAATGTTAATATGTTTTTATTTTCTTTGTTACATTATTTTATTACAATTTTAGACGTAACTTATTTTACCTAAGATATGTCGTCACACATGCACTATACATGACAACATCCAGAGAATTAGATTATTTTTTATTTATTAGATTAGATTACGTGATTCATACTTGTTTGGCACTTTTCTGAAAAATTACATATCAGTCTTTTATGTCTGTACAACATGTGATATTTTAACCAAATACTTTTGCAGACAAAGTACGCGTCTTGTAATCTCATTGTGCATTATTTATAAATAAATAAAATACGTGTATAACTTATGTGTTAAAAATGTATGCCCATTTAATTAAATAATAAATAAAAAAGTAAGTCGAGTAAAATTATTAAGTTGTTATGCTTACGTATACAAATATACATAAATCTTGCAATTAGTCACAAGGTGGTAAAAGTTGTGTGTATATATGTAACTAAATAAAATATACGTAACTAAATAAAATAATAAAAAACACAAGTATATCTTAACTTGAGACACTACAGTAAACTGCGTCAATTTAAGGAATACTTTTTACAAAACTGCCTATTTGTTCTCCTGACACGTCTCGTTCGATTGTTGGGTTTTGGTCTCAACCGGAAGCGCGAGCGTGGCAATCGCAGCGCACAACGCGGTTGTCGCGTAGATGGCCATTGCTCCCGTGATGGACCATTGCAAATATACCTGCGCTATGTACGGAGTGACCATGGCGCCGATTCGGGCCATCGCGCTGCACGCGCTCACGCCTATGCTTCGCAAATGCGTGGGATACATTTCCGGCGTGTACACGTACGCCGCTTGAAACACACCGGCGATCAGACTTCTGGCCAGAAAGACGGCGATGGTCAACGCCGCTCTGCTCAGCACGCAAGTTCTGCTCAAGAAACAGATCACCACGGCGAACATCACCAACTGACAGGCCATCGTCTTCTGCCTGCCTATTTTCTCGATCGCGAACACGGTCGAGAAAATACCGGGAAACTCCGCCAACGTTGTCCACAGTAAATCGATGTAGTCGCTGCGATGTAATTGACACTCGAGCTGACATGTGTTTTCGTCGGTGTCAACGTCCCATGTGCCACACTGCTCCGAGGATGTGTGAAAAAGTTCGGTGGTCATCAGCACCACTCCGTAGTAACAAAACGCTGTGCTCATCCTGATCATTGTAATAACGTGCGTTTAAAAAATATTTATATATATCTTTTCCTTTCATTAAAGTGAGTCTTGGAAAAATATAGAGATAAAATCTTTGTATTTACCATACGAGCCATAACAAAGCGGATGTTTTGCACATTTCCTTGCTGAGAACGTCTTTGAATCGGCCGTGACTAGCTTGATAAAACCGATCCATAACTAGTCTGCCCAGAGGCAACGATTTTTTATTCTCTTTAGCTACACGCTCTAAAGTCGAAAGCGCGAGATCGGTTCTTCCATTTGTCATATCGAATACCATGGATTCTGGAAGCCACTGCAATCGCACAATAATAGATAAAATAGTAAAGCAAAAACGAATAATGTGTGTAAACAAATAATGGAGAATATACAAACCGGCGTTATTATAGCGAAAATGAATAGCGGAATAGATGACAATATAAGAAGCCATCTCCATCCAAAAGTGGGCATAACAATCAATGCAATTGCTACCTCGAAACAAGCTCCTAAAGCCCAGAAACACTAGTAACAAAATGCTTTTATTAGCACATACACACGTTGTAGTAACTTCAATCATATCATATCACTTATATTTGGATCCACAGATTCCCAAACTTACGTCCAACAGAATAACGCATTTTGCTCGTTGTTTCGCCGGCAGAAATTCTGCGTACAATGTCACTCTGCAAAAAAAAAAGGCACGTATGAATAGTAACAAGGTGATGCGAAGCAAGCAAATTACTGATCTTCAAGAAAAAACTTACCAAATACTTACGATTGTGGCACACAACCAATAGCAAATCCCACAATTCCTCTAAGCACTAGAATCCAGAAGAAAGTTGGTGCAAACGAACTTAGAAACGCATAGAAAGATAGCAGCACCGCGCATAAAGTTAAAGCTTGCTTGCGCCCGTACTTATCACTCAGATTATTCCAAACAGTGGAACTCAACATCATACCAAGGAAGACTACCTAAAAAATCCAACTTTTGTAATAGATAATACATTTTCTTGTAATACAGTTGCTAACAAAACATAAGGATCCAAATTCAAACAGTACTGTTGTGGTCAGTGCTTGTTGATATCTAGAAATGCCCCAATCGCAATGTAGAGATGGACTCAAGATACTCAGTATTGTGATCTCCATACTGTCTACCATCCAACAAAGACCAGTGAACAAAGACAATTTTACTTGAAACTTTCCAAAACCCATGGCATTGATAGCTTGTACCACAGTGAATGTATCTGTCAAATAAAAAAGACAGTTTTCAATATAAGTTTTAAAACTTAGAAATATATTTTTGTTTTATATATTCTGATTGTTAATAATTTTTTTAATTATTCCAAGTTGATTTTTCTATAATTTCTTTATATTGTTTTTATACACCTTATTATTTTATACATTCGTACTTTTATTACATACACACACATAAATATATACACACAAAAAAGCATATTAAACATTAGATATTTAAACTGTGTGTTCTTATTATATACAGTTTATAAAGAAATGTACAGACCTCATTTCTTGTGCACATGCATGTCTAGTATACACAATTGCCAAAGGCGAGATCCAGTATTGTCAGTAGAATCGAAAGATAGCCACATTAGTAAAAACAACCACCTCCCAATGTTATGGTATCATGCGACACTTAAATATTTACATGATGTAAAGTTTCTCTTCTTTGTTTTTTTCATTGTTAAAGTTAAGTAAATCCTTCTGTACAATTAAGATAATTGAAAACATTATAATCAATTAGATATTTCTACATACTCTTCTTTATAAAAAAATAACAAAGATAATGTAATTAATAATAACATACCATCAGGTATAACCACAACAGAAGAAAGCTCCATGGAGCGTTCAGTAGCATTTTCGCAGCTTCTGTAGTTTGTACCTTGAACATTAACGTTTAGATCAGCACCATGTGCTTCTTCCAGCTGCTTGTACGGTTCGTGAGATTTTGTATCTGGATTCGACATGATTGCAAATCTTGAGTGCAGGTCACGACATTGCACGTAACTGTTGATCGTTTTGTAGGTTATCGTTCCAATTTATTGCGTGCATAAAATGTATTTCCTCAGAAATCTAGAGAATCACGTTTTTCTAATGACATTAATTTAATTGTTACCACTAATAAATCACGTCATCTTTTATTGTAACACAACACGTTTTAATCTCACGATTCAAGATAAATTATAACAAATGGAAAATACAACTCCACACTGCACACCTGTGCGTGGTGACACGCTCGATGCAGGAGCAGGGCCCGGGGCAGTGTTGTTGCGAAGTCGCGTTTTCGCGTATGCGCACTGTACAGCCAATTAGGTTCCCATAAAAGCTGTGTTTTCGCGCATGCGCCTTTAAATGTAGCATTACTGCCGTACTAACTTCGACATTATTAAGGTTCTGTAAAGACCCAAATA